GATATATATATATATATATATATATATATATATATATATATATATATATATATATATGCAGTAATTTATGAAATCTACCGAATTTTTAGCGTTAGATAGTTTTTTATTATATTTCTCAATATATCTAACCAAATTCTTGTGCTTCGATATTAATTCACGAAAAAGATGGAGCATTAATGAATGCTCCATCTCCATCAAGAACGTGAGCCATTGCTCCAGCAATGGCTCACGTTCTTGCTCGCTTGTTAAGTTTCTTCAGTTTGTAGTAGATATTTTAGCGAATGCTGGTAAAAGACCATAATTAATGCAGTAATTTATGAAATATACAAAATTTCTAGCGTTTTTTACTACAATTCTCTATATTTCTAACAAAATTCTTGGTTACATTTCTCAATACTTCTAACCAAATTTTTGAACCAAGAATTTTGTTGGAAATATATTTCTAACCAAATTCTTGGTTACATTTATATATATATATATATATATATATGCGCAGTAATTATATATATTTAGTCATTATATATATATATATATATATATATATATATATATTTACAATATTCTATAAATTCTACCGAATGTTTGGCGTTAATATGTTTGTAGTTCGTTTTTTCGATTTTTCTCACTTAAGTTTTTTGGTGAACGTTTAGTTTATTAAAATTCAAAATAAACTTATTTTTCGAATTCATGCTGCAAATAAGGCCATATTCCGAATGAATCATCGTCAGTGCTCCTTGTTGTATATAGGGAAATATTGACTTTGTCAAGATTAACTTTAACTTTGTAAAAATTAACTTTGGTGTTGTAAAATTGAACTTTGATGCGAATTAGGTGTCAGGTTTCTTAATTGGCTGGTCATCTTCTTTGGTCTCCTTTTCTTCATCGATAGCATCATATTCTTCTTTGTCACTATTTACGATGCTAGTTTCTATTACTTCTTTGTTTTCGTTGTTGGTTAAGCGCCGGGTTGGAAGTGAGGTTGTCATTTTATGTTGTATATTTATTTTTGGTCTATTGGTGTCGATTAGGACTGCTTCTGCAATTTTAAGATGCGTGTAGTTGCTGTTCTGGTATATTACTTTGGTGTTGCTGTCGAGGATTTCACGGCTAATTGTGATTGAGTGTGTTGAGTCCAAATGAGATTTGATAGCACCACTCTGTTTATGCATCGTAAGCCTTCTAGTCAGTGAGGTAGTAGTAATCCCGATATATGAGTCATGTTGACGTCCACAGCCGTCAAAAGGGCAATTAAATTCATATATTACGTGATTACGCTTTAACTCAGAGTTATCTCTAGGACTGCAGTTGTTTTTCAGTATTAGGTGAGACGTCTTTTTATTGTTGTAATAAATTCGGAGTTCATCTTTACTATTTGGGTTGGTTGGTGTGACATTTTTATTGATGATATGCTTAAGAATAGCTTCATCTACCTTGTATGCTGTTGACATGTGATTTCTGTAATACAAGATGATGTCGTTATCTTGATTGTTGGTACTAGGAAGGTTATTGCTGTGTAGTAATTTGTTTTTAACAATCTTTTCAATAGAGTTCACTTTGACAAAATCAATATTTCCCTATGTAAACTTAACCGCACTGATGATGATTCATTCGGAATCGAAATATACATATATACATAAATAAGGCCTATTTGCAGCATGAATTCGGAAAATAAGTTTATTTTGAATTTTAATAAACTAAACGTTCACCAAAAAACTTTAGTGAGAAAAATCGAAAAAACGAACTACAAACATATTAACGCCAAACATTCGGTAGAATTTATAGAATATTGTAAAAATTATGGTCTATTACCAACATATATATATATATATATATATATATATATATATATATATATATATATATATATAGTAATGTTTGAATTCTACTGAATTGTTGGCATTAATCAATTTCAAGTTTGTCTTTTCAATTTTCCTTATTATAATTTTTTAGAAATTGTTCAATTTGTTGAAAATAGAATTATCCAAGTTAATCAGTTCATCATGAAAATTTAATGAAACTGTTTTTATCCGAATTCATCATGCAGATAAGGCCTTATTTCGATTTTTCATACATTTTTTAGCGAGTAATTTAGTTCTCCTGCTTTCTACATAAGAAAAGTGTGTATAAGCTCGGTTTACAAAAGCAAAGATCGTGTTCTTTGTAAACCGAGCTTATACGAATACCCGAGTCAATACTCACTCATAAAATATTAAACAACGTACAATTGAAATCTTTCCCACTAATAAATTAAGAAACAAAGGAATCATCTATAATGATGTTTTAGTTTTAAATTTGTGAATAAATTAAAAAATGTGAAAAAACGAAATACATATATATAAGGTCACTGTCACATTTGCAAGGAAAATTTTCATAATGGAAAATATATACGAAGTAAACGAGAAAAATCGTGACAATAAAGTTAGCAATAACAATGAATAGTGTAGCCTGTTAACTCAACTTTCCTAATTGAACTTTTTTAAATAATTCTGAAGCAGTGAAAAGGACTGAATCAATGATGCTGGCCACAGTAAAAGTTCCTCCGACTATAGCACAAACCTTTCAAATTGAAAAAATTCATCTATTTAATGATTTAAAAATTAAAATTTTAAAAAAGACATTATGGCGTTTATAATTTAAAAATTTCTTTACCAAGTTATTAGATAAAAAAATGAAATGTAATCGTACTGTAGTGAGAAAACTGTATAACGGTTTACTCTTGTAAATGTATCGGACAGTTATCGGGTTCATGTCATATCTAAACCATATTACAGGCGTTATTTGGTGGCCATGTCCCATTTGTATCATTTCCTAGTTTATTAAAAATCAAAAATATATCAAAATGATTGTTGTATAACATAAACAAAATTTAGAGAAAAAAGATAGTGAAATATATCTTTGGAACATTATTTTGGGCAGCGCAATAGTTAAAACGCATTCGAACCCAATCACTGCTGTTGCAGTGACTGGGTTCGAATGCCAAAAGATACCCACTTATCACTTGCAATCTATGTAATTTCTAAAAATTCGTGTGCAATTGCAGGCACTGCGTGTTTGTTGGTGATACTTCTGGAAAATACTAAAGAGAAAATTAATTGTAAAATAATAACAAATTAATCAAAATATTTTTTTAAACGAAATAAGGTATGAAATGAAACAAATTTATTAAAAGAGACACTATGAGGATTTTATCGCATTGGTCGATATTCTTTGAAAAAGTAATAAAATAAAAATTAATGTCAGAAATTAAACGCTGACAAATTACTAAATTAAAATCTTATATTGAGTTGCAATACGTCTTCATACAAAAAATCATCATAACCAACATTTCATCTCACTTCCAAAGTCTATGCATAGCTATCAATATAACACGTACAGTAAATTATATGTTATGTTACAAAATATTTTATATAAGATATTGCTGATACTAGAGCTGAGGCTAGGATGTTACAGTGCTGGTTGATAGAAAAAATAATTAATTTGCTCCACTGATTTTAAATTAACAGATTCAGCTGTAATTTTTGTAATTACATTATTTAATAAACTCCACTAAAAAACGTTATCTTTTAGTGGAGTTTATTAAAGAAGTAATTACAAATAGGGTTCTTGAAATGCCTCTTCACGGCGACAATGAAAAAGGCAAATCAGTATAGGTTATAGGTACAAATACTATCCTATGCTTTAACGAAACTAAAACTGTAAGTATCAAAGCAAAGCTATTTAATATATAAAGAAATCAAAATATCAGTAAGGAGTAGATGAAATATTTAAAAAACAAGAAACCCGATGGGCAAATGTGTACTGATATGCATGGGGTAGTTTCTTGCCATATTCATCCACCATATATGACGGCACAATCTTGAGAAAATACTCATGAGTGTTTAAACCTGATTTTTAAAAAAATTAAATAAATCTAATGAAGACTAAACTAAAATCATATTTAGATTAAAAATGTATTACCGAAGGAATCGTTGTGAGTTATGTTGCCCAGAGCATTGAAAGAACCCTGCAACAGATTTTCCTAAAACAAAATAAAAAATATTAGACTTGAAACATATTTATAAAACTTATTTTTGAATTCCAAAAATTATTTTGCATATCACAATTTATTTTCCATATTAATGCCAAATTTTATCTCATCTCAAAAGAAAATTAATCATTAATATTGAAAACAAATATATGTCTGTTGCTGAGTTATCACTATATATACAGTCGACTTGAATCCACAAGTTTATGAAGAGTGAGAAATTCCGACCTGCTACTTTATAAATATATAAAACGTATTATATATATATATATATATATATATATATATATATATGTGAAATTTGGGTTCAGAATGTCGTATATACGTTCATTAAAAATATCACCGCATTTTTCGCATTTTTTCAATTTTTCGAACAATTATTTTATCGATATAATTCAATTTATTCAAATTAATAATAAAATTTCTAATTATTTTAGACTGCATTTTTTATATATACATTTACATAAAAGTTTTTTTCGGTAACCTTTATCATCATCAGTGTAATAGGGTTTGTGATATTGTTATATGCAGTTAATCTGGTATTTATAGTATTTTTAACAAAGGAGCTCTAAGTTCCATTGTTTTTTTGTGTGAGTAATATTTCTTAGTTAGTAGTTAACGTATTTTTTATAGTGAATACTACCAATCTTTCTTTCGCAATCAAAAGTTTATGACATATATATGACAAACATATATGACAGAAGTTCGTCGAGGACTGAATTCACCGCCATTTTTCTCATATATATATTTATAAAGTTTATTATATATATATATATATAAAGTTTATTATATATATATATCTATATATATAAAGTTCATTATATATATATATATATATATATATATATAAAGTTTATTTAACTCATACACAAAATTAGCGTGCATGTTTCAAACAGAAAAGCCATTTTCGGGAATTCATAATTCCATTATCAATGTTAATTTTCGTGTTGTTCATGTTTATATATAAAATATTGTTACTTTTATCCTACGTTAATAAAGTTTCTACGAATTCTTTGTATCTCTTTGACGGTACATATCGTTGAAAATTTTTTATATTTATTGTTTGTTTAAATGTTTGTAATGCTATTTTTAAATTGTTAATTTAAAATATAATTATATAATAAAATATTATATATAAATATATATATTATTAGAAAATTTTATATAGCGCCCAATGAAACATTTTCATAGGCGCTCTCACATTTTGATGATTCAAGATAAATAATAAAAACAAAACAGAAAATTAAATTAAACAATGTTTGTTAACAAAATGTTTCAAGCATCGTTTCTGTATCTGTTTTCATTTCAAACTTGGTTGTTGCCCTTCGATCGAACAAGTCAATCCCTCATTGTTCCAAACTTGGTTGTTGCCCCTCGATCGAACAAGTCAATCATTGTTGAATTTCTAATATGTAGAAAATTTTCATCTATATGTAAAAATTAGCTGTTTTTGCACCTCTGAATATCCACTCACGAAATCTAATTGGCTAAGGCCATGAGCTATCTTCTAAATTTATATTAAACTATCTTCTAAATATATATATACAGTATTTTATGAATTCTACCAAATTGTTGGCATTAATAAATTTAAGGTTTGTCTTTTCAATTTTCCTTACTAGCATTTTTTTGAAATTGTTCTATTTCATGGATATAATGGATATGGCATAATAATTGTTAACTGCCTAATAATTTTTCTTAGTTCTATGAAATTAAACGCGTAAACATTAAACATTTTTTCGTAGTAATTGACATTTTACTGATTTTTTACGATCAAACGTCTTACGTATCGAACGTAAGACGTTTGATCGTATTTTTTACGATCAAACGTCTTACATATCGTATTTTATTGTTAAACTTTAGACAAATTTTTTAATTAAATGTCAATAAATTGACAAAAAAAGCAGCTAGGACGATAACCGTTAAACAACCGACTAAAAACTGATTGTTTACTTTAATTTAATTCACTTTTTAACAAATATAGCTTTCATATTTGTTTTATTCTAATTATATGGATTGACCTTGATGTTATATATATATATATATATTTGTATATATACAAATTCATATATATATATATATATATATATATATATACATAATTGTTTTAGATAATGTAGAATCACAAAGTAATAAATTGCGGCTACATGTTAAAATAATTGGTAGAAAGTAAATAAAACGAAGTATGTATTACACTAAATGATAGATAAAATTATAACAATGCAAGTGTAGTAGAAATGGTTTTATAGTAGCTCGAGGTGATGTTGTGTACGAAGAATGAGTTTGTATGAAGCGATATAAAGTGTTATATATAGGTATATTGAGAGAATATATATGTAGTAAGTAAATACACATATATATATCTACACATCATTCATATATAAATGTTTAAATATATATATACTTTTTTTTGGTAACAGACTGTTGTTAACGCAACATTTCAAAAATTCAACACTACTTTCAACATTGTTCAATTTTTTATATTTCTTTTTAATTTATTAATGTCAGAGAAATTAGACTTTTTATTGTTTTTTAAAAATTTTTATTAAATAAATTTGCAAATAATTTATAAATGATATTTATTACGACAGCATCCTCACAATGGGAATTGTTGGTCTTTGGATGTATTTGCAAATTTATTTAATAAAAATTTTTAATATATTTACATGTATATATATAGCATACAATCTATGAACACATATTGACAATATTCTCTCAATATACCAATATATAACACTTTATATCGCTTCATACAAACTCATTCTTCTTACATAACATCACATCGAGCTACTTTAATACCCTTTCCACTACACTTGCATTGTTATAATTTTATCTATCATTTAGTGTAATATATACTTCGTTTTATTTACTTTCTACCAATTATTTTAACATGTAGCCGCAATTTATTACTTTGTAATATATATATATATATATATATATATATATATATATGAACAATGCATATATATATATATATATGTGAACAATGTATATATATATATATCCATATCCATATATATATTCATGTTATTTATGTTAAAATTCGATTTTTCATAAAACATCTTTAGTGCATGTTTGGTTTATATAGTTTCTTTAAACAATGCAAAGTACTTCAGCAAAGTTTATTAGCTCGTATTCTTCATTATTGTTGTTGTTATTCTTTTGTTCTTCATTGATATTGAAGTAAGTATTAATGCGTCGAGTTGGTAATGATGTATCATTCTTTGTTTATTGATATTTATTACCAGAGCATCTGCTATTTTTAGATGTATTGTGTTGATGTTTTGATAAATTATTTTTGTGTTTTCAAGAATTTGGCGGGTTATTGGAGTTGCATGTGTTGATTGCAAGTCAAATTTGATAGCTCCGCTTTGTGTATGCATTGTGAGACGTCTTGATAGTGAAGTGGTCGTAACACCAATATACAAATGTTGTCGACGCGCACAGTCGTCAATAGGGCATTTAAATTCATATACTACATGATTACGCTACTCTATTTTGAAGTAGTGAATATATTAATGAATATAAATTAAGTACCGTAACATCATTCATCATTCATTCATCAACCACGCCTTCACACATTCTTCATCTCCAGCATCTCCAGACAAAGTTTCATCAGAAATCAAACTAGTCACAAATCTTTTTAAAAATAATAATTAAAAATGTCATCATTAAAAAGTTACAACATATGAACGAAAATAACAACAACAATAATAATATTGTCCCCAATATCAAAAATAACTATAAAGACAATAATAATAACAACAAAATCGGTAATAACATTAACAACAATAACAGCAACGGTAATTACATTAACAATAACAACAATAACAACAACGACAATTATATCAACAGTAATAAGAATAACAATTGTAATGACACTAACAACAATAACAACAACGATAATGCCATTAACAACAACAACGACATCAATGACAACAACAGCAATAATAATAATAATAACACCATTATACTATATTATCGAAATTTCATGTCTTCGTCCTACAAAACTGATGAAAAGATCAAGAAGAAGATAATCCATAATAACTCGAACGACAGAACAAAAATTAAGGATCTTTTACAAAAACTACAAAAAATCTAACCTTTTAATTTTAAATAATCGCCTACCTCACTTCATGCTGGGGTGCACTGGCCATGAGACGCGTCCCTAGGTGGTGGATAGGGGAAAGTCCATGGAGACCTTCTAAGATTGCATTGAATAATACGGAATAAGAGGCCGCGAACCAACTGTACCAGAAAAAAGAAGACAACGATGAAAGAGGCGGAGGATCCTAGGACAACGGCTCAAACAGCGGATGATCTTCGATTCTAATTCCACTGCCTTGTGGAACAGGGACCTTTGACCCAAAGGCTAGGTGCACTGCTTACAACAGTGCTCTCTTGGGCACGAGATAAACTGCAACCGCGCTGCCTTGCGTGCTTCTAACAAAAAGGCTAGACTCACTGCTTATAACTGGTGGTTTCGTTAGGAATTGGGTAATTCCAGATTTTAAAAAATTTTGATCCAAACATCTTCCATGTCATCACAAAAAAGAAAAGATCTCCTATTCCCTGGAAGTCCATAAATGGTCAAGGGTTGACAATATCCAGAAAGTACGCAACAGTGGAGGGATGTTGCGGAAATTCGGGCGTCACCTCCTGTAATATCATGTTCAGGGAAAGATTCCTGGTTATGGCAACGTACTCTAACACAAAAACTCAGGTCAGCACAACAGCCGGTAACACGAATAAATTTGATATTAGCGTCGGCGTCCATCAGGGATCAATATTCAGCCCCCTGCTCATCATTACGGTGATGAAAGAAATAACTAAACCGATACGCTAAGATAACATATGAAATGTGATATATGCAGATGATATCGTCTGACGGCGGCCTCGGTACAAGACGCAGCCAGAAAGTTTGAGGTCTGAAATACCCAGCTCGCCGAAAACGGGCTAAAGGTGAACCTTGAAAAAACAAAAACTATGATTACCAGTGGTCCCGCTGAGCCTGTGGCCTCTGGTCATTGGCCATATTCGGTGTGTGGGGCTGGAGTTGGATACGATTACCGGGATCGAAACTGTTACTTCATTTCAGTATTTGGGAGATGTGCTGAATTGTACTGGAACAGCTGATGCCGCCGTTCGTGGACGCATACGTGTGGCGTGGGGCAGATGGCACCTTCTTGACTCGGTACTGATGCGGCGTAGCATTCTTCTACCGCTGCGTTCACTATACAACACAGCTATATGTTCTGTTCTGATGTATGGTGCAGAGACGTGGCCGATGACAACAAAACTCGAAGAGCAGCTTCACCGAACTGACATGAAGATGATTCGTTGGATGCAGTATGTTGATCTAAGGGACCATATCCATACAACCGAAATCCTGAACCGATCAGGACTGTGCACGTTGAAGGAAGCATGTCGTCGTCATCGCCTACGGTGGTTTGGCCATGTGAAGCAAAGCAAAAACGATACAATAATTTCCGTTACTGAGCACCAGGTGCTTGGCACCCGTCCAAGAGGTCACCCAAAAAAGTCCTTGACGCAGACCATACAGGAGGACTTGAAGGCACTTGGTCTCATTGAAACAGACGCAATGAATAGATCGACTTGGAGACAGAAGCTGATGAATGGAATACAAAAGTCTAACTCAACGGATGGAGGCTATAAACGAGGATTGATTGCCTACTTCACAACACTTCGCTTTTGAAACGTAGTCATCTCATACATGACAACGGCATCCAATTATGCAGTAAACATCAAGATCAACAATGAACAGATCGAGACAGTACAAGATTTTATTTTCCTGGGAGCCAAAATTGACCGAAACGGCGAATCTGGATCAGAGATCAAAAGGCGGATTGCACTCGGCCGGGCTGCAATGCAAGGAATAGATAAAATCTGGAGGAGCAAGGATGTGAGCATTGCAACGAAAACGAGACTCGTCAACGCCATTGTCTTTCCCATAGCAATTTATGGATGTGAAAGTTGGACAATCAAGAAAGCGGAAAAAAGAAGGATCGATGGTTTTGAGCTTTGGTGCTTTGAGCCTGGACATCGCGAACAACAAATAAGACGGTCTTGGACCGTATCAAGCCAAAAATGTCGCTTGAGGGCAAAATCGTCAAACAACAACTCTCCTTTTTCGGCCATGTTATGCGCGCAAATTCGCTGGAAACTTCAATGATGCTAGGTAAAGTGAGTGGGACAAGAAGAAATGGACGGCAAAGAATACGTTGGCTTGATACAATCACATCGGCCACCAAAATGACGATCTCAGAACTTAAAATAATCGTCGAGGACAGGAACGCATGGAGAAGACAGATCCATAAAGTGGCCGAAAGTCGACTTTGACTAAATGGTTAATCATCATCATCTCATATATAAATTTTGTTTCCTCTTGACGACTGTGCGCGTTTTCAAACTTCCTATATAGGGATGACTACTACAACACTGTCGCGTAGACTCACTATGCACAAAAGTGAGCCATCTAGAAACTTTCCACAACACCCCAATAACTAAGAACCTTCTAGATAACAACACAAAATTTTATACAACAATCAACAGCACTACAACCTAAGGACTGCATAAGCCATTTTCATCGAATTTGAAAAACCTTCCATCAATATCCAACAACGAATCACAACACTTCCAACTATTAGAATGGGCAACAATAACGTTAATCGGATGCGCCAGCAATCTAACAATGATGATGATGATGATGATAATGATAATAACAATATCATAAGCAACAACAGCAATAAAAATAATAATAACAATAATAATAATGATAATAATAATCAGTTCACTTTTAGTGTGCAGGCACTGATAAATTCTCAAACATTTTTCGATTAAAATATCATGTGTTAAGCATAATTTCAAAATTTAATTTTAAAAAACATTTAATGAAAAATATAGTGTTTCGAATTTTTAATGTTTGAAAATGCCAGCTGGAAAAGGAAAAGCCGAAGAACGGAAAACGATGTGCGAATTACCGGATTTCTTCTCTGCGATGCGTGCAGCAAAGCCAATGAGGAAAAATTGAAGAGCGTGACTACTGCTTCTGAAAAAGAACAAGAAAAATTGTTGTTAAATGACGTTTCTGCGAATTTGTCAGAAAAATTATTTAAAGACAAAGTTGAGGTAATGACCTCTGGAGTTAAAAATATTGAAAACTCAGTTAACCATACTACAAATAAAATTGATTTGAAAAGTGAAAGACAAAAAAAAATAATACTGTGATTTATAATTTGGATGAAAATGAAGCAAACATCAAGTTAAAAGATTCAGTCTTAAAAATGTTGTCAACTCTTGCTGGTCAAGATATAGAAAAAGAAATCTCAGAAGTGATAAGATTTGGGGAAAAAAGAAGGAATTCAAAAACCCAGACTAGTTTTAATAAAGTTTAAAAATTATTCTGTAAAAAACTTAGTAATGTAAAGCTGTGTGAATTTAAAAAAAAGTACCAGAGTTTAAAAAAGTTATATTAAATAACGATTTGCCTAACGAAGACAGAGAGGAAATTAAAGCTCTAATTGAAAAAAATAAAAGAAGTTTCTCAATCAGATGATGCTAGTAAATGGATATTTAGAGTGAAAGGACAGGATAAAGATTTCCATGTGGTAGCCTTTAAAAAACAAAATTTATAAAAAATATCAATGAAAGAATTAAAATATTACATTTTGATGAACTATGACACACAGTTAGACCACCAATCGCAAGCCAGTACAGATTGGAGTACATACAAAACCGTTTTGATGAACGCTGCAACTACAGTTTGTGGGAAAACTGGTACAAAACGTCAGCATGAACGTGACACTTGGTGGTGGAATGACAGTGTACAAAATGCAATAGCTGAAAAGAAAGTTGCTTACAAGCAATGGCAAAAATCAAAGTCTGTTGATGACCATAAAATTTTCAAGTTGCACTGGCTCGGACAGATCAGTGCAGAGAGTGGCTCACTAAAAGCAAAGGTGAACAAATGAAATCTCTGTATCGTATAGCAAAACAAGCAAAGCGTACGAAAAAAGACATGGTTGGTGCCTCATGTATTAAAAACGACAAAAATGAGATGGTTCTTGAACAAAATGAGATCGAGCTACAGTGAATACTTCAACCGTCTGTTAAACGAAACAAATCCAATCAATGTTAACTTTGACGCTCCACCCACCGAAGGTCCGAAGCTCTGAAAGCTATGAAGGATGGAAAGGCAGCAGAGCCCTCTGGACTCACAAATGACATTATCAAAGCATCTGGTACTGCAGGTATCCAAACGTTACTACAACTTTGTCGTGAAATCTGGAGAAATTGCTCAATGCCGGCTGAATGGAACTATAGCATGACAGTTCCTCTATACAAAAGCAAAGGTGATCCATTGAACTGTTCATCATATCGGGGTATGCGTCTGTTAGAACACTCCCTGAAAATTGTCGAGAAAATCATTGAGAGAAGATTAACGTCGTGCATCACAATCGGAAATTATCAATTTGGTTTCCTAGCGGGGAAATCAACAATTGATACAATTCACATCCTTCGGCAACTGCAAGAGAAGTACCTCGCAAAGCATCAACAACTATCACACATTTTCAACTATCCCACATTTTTGTTGACCTTGAAAAAGCATTTGATCGAGTTTCCCGTGAAGCAATCAGGTGACAACTCATTCCAGAATATCTTGTTCGACTTGTGATGGAAATGTATACAAATACTAAGACTCTTGTCAGTACAACGGCTGGAAACACAGATGCATTTGACATCGACGTTGGAGTTCACCAAGGTTCTATTATCAGTCCACTGTTATTCATAACTGTGATTGAAGAAATCACAAAACCGATACGCACTGGTGACATTTGGAATCTAGTATATGCTGATGATATCGTTTTAACAGCCACGTCTGAGCAGAATGCAGCACAGATGTTTGAAGATTGGAACACCAGACTCGCCGATTATGGATTCAAAGTCAACATCGGCAAAACCAAAGCAATGAACACTGGTGAACCCATCCAATCCACAGCTACTGGACGATGGCCCTGTTCAGTTTGTAAAGCTGGTGTAGGTAACAATTCAATCAAGTGTCAGCAGTGTAACCAGTGGTGTTACAAACGTTGTTCAAAAATAATTGGTTCTTTATCTAAAGTGTCCAATTTTGTCTGTCCTGCTAGCATCAATCCACAACAACAAATTCGAAATAGCACTGTTTTTGAAGCCATTAAAATAGAGAAAGTCACATCGTTTCAATATCTAGGGGATGTTCTGGATTGTACTGGAACAGCTAAAGCTGCCGTTCGAGCACGCATACGTGCAGCCTTGAATAAATGGCATCTCCTTGCCCCTATATTGATGCGGCGTGACTTCCCACTACCACTACGATCAAGACTTTATATATCTGTGATACGTCCGGTCTTGTTATATAGTGCAGAAACATGGCCAATGACAACCTCACTGAAACAACAACTTCAACGAACCGATATGAAAATGCTCCGATGGATGCAACGAATTAGTCTGAAGGACCACATCAAATCTACCGAAATCCTGCGTCGTGCTGGTTTAGATGATATAAAGGACGAATGCCGGCAACACCTTCTGCGGTGGTTTGGTCATGTCAAACGAAGTGGAAACAGTGCCATAACTTTTCTTGCAGATGTTGAAGTACCTGGCACACGCAAACAATCGAGCAAGACATAAAAGCTCTAAATTTAAATGAAATGGATACAACTGATCGTCTAATTTGGCGCAAAAAGTTGATGGCAAAGAAAACAACGTCCTGCCTCGGGAAACCGGGTCTCTGGACGCAAAACGAAGATTGATTGATTGATTGAACTACGACACTTAAATCTAAGATTACTGTTCAGCCTCAAAATTTAAAAAATTTTAATTCAGAAAAAGTAAAAATAATTACTACCTCACCAGATGTCACAGAAAGAAAAAAACAAAAACGGACAACAGAGGATTATAAACAGGTAATTTGGGCATAGCAATTGGCAAAATTAGTAAAACAAGAAAATGTTACTCAAAATACTTATGAAATATGGAGAAATAAAAATTCTAATAATTTTCCTAAAATGACTCCAAAAAAGTTAATCAACATAAGAAGATTCATAATAATTCAAAATAAATTAACCACATATGATTTAGGAGATATAATTAATGATGTAACTTCAAGGACTAAGATTCAAGAAAAATTAACTGATGTTTCAGATGATCAGAAAATAACAACAAATCAACTGGCTCCAAAAGATAAGTCAACAGATGATAATGTAGTGAAAAGATGATGAAAAAAATTCAGCAGAAAATGCTGGAACTCCAAAACATTGATATTGGCAAAAAAAATTCAAATAAAATTATAAACATTAAACAAATATCAAAAGACCTAATAATAGCGAATGAAGCTTTAAAACAATTAATGACATCAAATAATCTAAACTTGACAGAATTAAACTTGACAGAATTAAACTTGATGATTTTGACTATAGTACTGGTTAGCGCAGGTGAAAAAGTAGAAAAAATAAGATCACATCAAGAAGATAGGACACCATCATGGAAAAAAGAATTCAACAAAATATTAAGATATATAGAAAAGAACGTGCACTAATTAATGAATTCAAGAAGGGAAACACTAGTCAAAATGTCAGGAAAAAGGTAGCAATAATTTGTGAAAAAGAAAAAATGACATTGTAAAGACAGGATGAAGTTCAAGTCATGACAATAATGAGATTGCAGGCAAAAGCTCAAAGATTATGAAGATATAGCAAACGAAGTGATCAGTTTGGCTCTAGAGCAACTGCCTTTTCGTGGTGGAGCCAATAGGACCGTCAAATCAGACGCTCCAACAAACAGTTGCAACAAAACCTTCCCAACCTGGATGTCCACGGGGTTTTTGTCGACGGGGCGGACCATTCCGGCCATCCTGCTCCGTTGCCTTTTCCTGAAAGCCGAAATTGAATCAAATCCAAGTCCCTCAAAGATCTGAATTTGCCCTGGATGCCATCACAAAATCAACAAAACCCAATTTTCAGCCCGTTGCAGAACCTGCTACAACTGGCATCACCTCAACAACTGCACGACCAATATCAACAGTTATTACTACTGTAACAAGTGCCCGCGCCCATCAACAAAATCGGGCAAATCGACGGCGCCGATTGATACCTCACGACGGCCAACATCGACATCGGCATCACTAAACAACAACTGCCTCCGTGACAAAACATCAACAACCCAAGCAACAAATGCTGGACAGTTAAATTTTCTTCAACTCAACTGTAACGGCATCAAAAACAAACATGAAGAAATTCAACAACATCTAATAGACCACAACATTCCCATCGCAGCCCTCCAAGAATCTTAGCTGTCAAAAAGCTCCAAAACGCCACTCTTCAGGGATTACGCGATTTAACGCAAAAACCGAAGAAATGGTCGTGGGGGTGGTCTTATAGCACTAATCCACAACAGCATTCCCTTCAGTATAATGTCACTACCCGATACTCCCACAATTGAGAGTCAGGCCATCACAATCAACGCGGGCGGCACAGATATCAACATTGTCAACATCTACATCTCCCCTCAATCAGTTTGCCCAACTGGCTTTTCAGCTTCAATTTCACAATTCCTATCAATACCGAACGTCGTCTTGTTGGGAGACGTAAACGCACACGATCCCCTGTAGTATTCAAGTCTGGAGGACACTCGAGAAGAGGCCCTAGCCAGTGAAATCGAAAATTCTGGCTGCGGCACGCTCAACCTGGATACCCCGACGCGTCTCCCAACATCCGGCCAATCCTCATCATCAGATATCTCTGGTCGCCTCGGGCACGTTGATCATAAACATGGAATGGTCCACGATGACTTCACTCTCATCTGATCATCTTCCAATCCACATCAATCTACTAACAACAATTCAACACTCTCGCTCACCAAAAGAAAAATTTATAAATTTCGCTAAAGCTAATTGGGATGGTTTCACCGCTGAATCCGAAGCCGGTTTTTTCAATCTAGTCTTCCCGACTAACCTGTCAATTGCCGAAAAATCGTTCCGTCGTGTTCTACAGGTCGCAAGTGACCACAACATACCTTTCGGTAGACGAGTTCCACCTAAAGCACTTAGGCCCAAAAGGAATTTCCTTCCTAACCTACATTTTCAATGAATCCGCACGAACCTGTAGGATTCCAGAAATTTATAATAAATCTAAGATCATCTCCCTGCTAAAACCCGGCAAACCAGCTAGCGACGCAAAATCATATCGGCCTATATCTCTACTTTGTCCGGCAGCCTAAGTATTTGAAAAATACCTACTGCCAATCATCTCAAATCATCTCACATTAGCGAGCCATCAACATGGTTTTCGCCCACTTCACTCAACAACAACAGCTCTTACTACGATGGTTACCGACTAAACCAGAAGAGGCCAGCTCGTCGTACGGTTTTAACGGCACTGGACCTCACAAAAGCATTCGATACCGTTAATCATTGTACCCTAATCTCCGTCCTTCTACAGTCAACGCTTCCACGGTCAATTGTCCGTTGGCTTTCAAACTATCTGCACGGTCGCTCCGCCTTAACAGAGTTCCGTCGACAATCCTCAAAACAACGTACCATCCGTTCAGGAGTACCTCAAGGATCTGTATTGTCACCAACTCTGTCCAACCTCTTCGCCTCCAGGATTCCAACCCCGCCTCAAAACATCAAAGTCATTTCCTATGCAGACGACTTCAGAGTCTACACCACTGGTCCAGATGCAGATAGTCTGACTCACCGGCTCAATTACCTGCCGAAGCTCTTTGACTTCTTCACTAACAGAAACTTGGAAATTTCCACCTCCAAGTCCACGGTCACTCTTTTCACTTCACACACATCACAATATCATCACCATCCTTCAATCAAAATCAATAACAATCTCCTTTCTCTTGAGCACAACCCTAAAATATTAGGCCTCACCCTAGACACGATGCTTTTCTTTTCACAACAACATAAACAAACAGCATCGAAGACCTCTAAAAGAACCAATATCTTAAAGGCACTCAGTGGTACTACCTTCGGTCAGGATAAAATTCTTCTAAACAGCTACAAAAACAGAATCAACAGTGAGCACATCAACACCTGTCCTTTCTGCAACATTCATACAGATGATGTTCAACATTTATTTAGCTGTCTTCAAAACGCCACGGATCTTCAACTAATAGACCTCTGGAGCAACCCTGTTGCAGTGGCGGATTGGCTCCGACCTCGATTGAAATTCTAAGGGCCCCCGGAAGAGGCTCCAACAACAACAACAAGTGATCAGTTTTATCACAATAAAATGTCTAATAATAATAGAAAAATATTTTATAGACAAATTAGAAACCAGAAATGAAAGATCACCCATCATTAGCAGCTATTGATAGTTTCTGGAGACAGATATTAGAAAATAATATAGAGCATAACAAAAATGCAGACTGGATTAAAGGTATAAAAGATGTCTTTAACCACTTGGATGAAGTGAATTGGATGGATTTTAGCATTGATGAAATTACTAAATCCATTCAACAAACATCAAACTGGAAAACACCAGGACCAGATAAGGTGGAAAATTTTTAGATTAAAAACTTTCTGCAGTTTATCAAATAATAACAGAAATATTTAATAAATTAATTAAAAATACACCACTTATACCTGAATGGTTGACAGTTGGAATGACATTCTTGATGCCCAAAGGACACTAAAAACCCTAGTAAATATAGGCCAATAACTTGTCCTCCTACAATGTTTAAAATTCTCACCAGTGCCATATCAAAATGAATATATGATTGCTTATGTGCAAATGACTTATTTCCTCCCTCCAAAACAAAAACGATGCAAAAAGTCTTTTAGGGGATGTAAAGATCAGTTATTGGTGAACATGGCAATAATTCAATCAGCACTTAAAGACAAAAAAGATTTAAGCATAGCATGGATTGATTATAGAAAGGCATTTGACAGTGTCCCACACTCATGGATTAAGGAAGTTATGGCCATTTACAAAATCCCCAGTGAGGTTAGACAATTTATTGAATATTCAATGTCCAAATGAAAAACTAGGGTGTGCCTTTGCTATGACCAAGATGTGATGTTGACGGAGACTGTAGAAATCTTCCAAGGATACTCTCTCTCACCGTTGCTGTTTTGTATGTCTTTGTTCCCACTGACTCATCTCTTCAGCCAGCCGAGGTTGGGGTATGTAGTGTATAAGTCATCTACTCTATATGGACGATTTGAAGCTCTTTATGCCAAACGATGATCAACTAAAAAAAGCGCTGACGATATTAAACAATTTCAGTCATGATAAACAAAAGAAATTTGGATTAGACAAAAGTGCTCTCTGATTATTCGAATTTATTTATATATGTTTTTTTAATAATATTAAAACTATAAAACTATAATAATACTAATCAATAAATTAATAAACGATGACGGTTTAACGTCGAAATAGATCTATCTGCAATAATTTTGATAAATTGTTTGTTACTAAAAATGATGTTTCAATTTTAAACAGACTCAATTTTGATGATAAAAAATTACTAAAACAAATTGAAAAATTTGAATATAGGTAGATTAACACTAATAAATCGGTGGAATTTATTACATATTGTCACATGATTAACTTTAATTCTAATTAAGTTACAATCAAAAGTCGCTGTGAAAACAAAGACACAAAGACGGAACAATACTATATAACTACACTGATGATAGCAGTTGATGCCGAAAAAATCTTTTCTGTAGTAATAACGTTATTAATAATGTTTTGTCAAAAATTTCAAATATTAAAATTTTTTTATTTAACCTTAATAAACTTTATCAAGATGATAAAAGTCTATAGAAAAAAATATATTTATATATACGTGTGTGTGTGTATGTGTGTGTGTGTGTGAGCGTGTGTGTGAGTATAAATGCCTAGTGTGAAGGCGGTGTCCTGCAGCGCGACTCTGCAAACTGATTTTGATCGTAATTTTATAAGTGTTTTATTTATTCACATGCTTGAAATTACTGTTTGTCAACTGAAAATAACATACGTGTTTATGTTAGACTCTTTTTCAAAGTTTTTATTTTTTAGAAAATGAACAGTTGAATAAAAATGAAAATAAAATAACACCAATTTTATTTTCATCAATAATATCAAAATCTATAACGGAAGCTTAGCTTACTTATAAGGATTAACAAGTACAGAAAATAACAAGAATTAGCAATTAATAATAATATCTTCGACTTCAACATCACCACCAACAATACTCTGCCAGCCATTTTTAATAATAATACTATTAATTTTGATAATATTTAAAATAACAATAATAGTAGTAATACTTGTAACAATGATAATAATATTAACAATGGTGTCAATGATAATAATAATAATAATAATTTATTATCCTATGCGTCTCACAGTTTAGCAACACACACTGATAGGCAAATATGAATAAAAAAACAAATAATACGTTCATAACTAACTCTATTGACAATTTTTTGCAACACTGTTTTGATAAATTTTATAAAAACATCAACTCAACTTACAACACGTACTACCAAACATCAAACATCACGATTAGATCATCAGACCCTCCATTCATCAGCCCATTCATCAAATATCTACTTCACCAAAAGAATAAATTCATTAGATCAGGACCCATCCTCAAAGCCGCTGCAATCACCAAATACATCAATAAACTAATATCAACTTCAAAAACTTTCACCAACAATAAGCATGGAAGCAAGGCCATTTGGGACCAAGTCAACAAGAGGCTCTGACAAATCATTCAACACGTCAACCTCACAGCATATTGATGCCAACATCCTCAACACCCACTTTACTTCCATGTCAACCGACCCGTCCAACAAAACTCCACCAACAAAAGCAACAACAATCGATAGTCGTCAACATCAACAATTTACCCCATACTCCGTCCTGCCCATGCTAACGAAAGCCTGTCCACCCAGTACAGGTCTGGACAGTCTACCAGCATGGTTTCTACAAACATCGCTCTATTCATCTTTAACACCTTAAGTTCACTCTACAATCACTGCTTAATGCATTCATTCATCCCATCACAATAGTAATCCAGCACAATTCATCCAATTCCTAAAACAAAATACCATCATCACCAATAGATTATCGCCCAACATCTATCCCCCCATACTTTCACGTATTCTAAAAAAATTCATCGTTAGGTCATTCATCTATCCATGTTTCAACCAATCCATCCATCAAACCACTATTACAAGATCAGTTTGCATTTCGCCCTACAGGTTCATCTACATCCGCTATCATCTCTCTTACTTCCACAATAACATCTTTCCTTAAAAATAATGATTATGTTCATTTTATTGCTCTCGACTTTTCTAAAGCTTTTGACACTCTCAATTACTTCTCACTTTCAAATAAGTTAGCCTCTCTTCCTCTCCTGACAACATTTACATTATTATAATAAATGTTCTTTCTAATAGGAGTCATTCTACTTTTTTTAGCTCTACTTTTTCATCTACTCTACCTATTAATTCTAGCGTAGTTCAAGGTTCTGTCCTTGGACCATCTACTTTTACCATCAATGCTTCTACTCTCAAAACTTTTCATAGCTCTAATCACATCATCAAATACGCTGACGATACTAACCTTATCATCCCATCATCTAACTCAAACGCCATCCATTCAAGAACTGGACTCAATAACTACATGGTCAAAACGATGCAATCTGTCACTTAATCTCAATAAATCATTCAAAATAGCCGTAAAAAATAACATTACCTCCTGAACACCCATCAATCAATCACTCGCACAAGTCAATAAAAAATATTAGGCATCACATTCACCTCCACACTTAATATAGCACCTCATATCAATCACATCATCACAAAAAGCTTTCAAACATTTCACGCACTCAAAACACTCAGCTCACATGGTCTCAGAGGCATCAAATTATTCGACATCACTGAATCACTCATAATCTCACGCATCAAATATGCAGCTTCCACCTGGTCTGCTTTTGCTACACAACAACAACTTCGGCAACTACAATCTCTTATCAAAAAACTAATCCGCTTCAACTATCTACCTGCATCATATCCTACCGTCACTCAGATATTCAACCCACTCAATTCAAGAAAGTAAAAAATAATAACAACCACGTCATCCATCCTCTACTACCACCAATTAAAACTACAACACACAATCTTCGTCAGCGCAAACATAACCATCAAGTCGCCACCCATTCTAAATAGCAGGAAAAGACTTTAATCTCAAGACACCTCAAACATATTAATACCCAATAAAACTTTATCATTCACACAACTATTTTTTTTTATTTATCGATCACGTCATTAGCTCACTAAGTCATCATCCAGTCTATTAATTTGCGCTTTCATGCCATTGCTTCATTTTATTGTCAATTTATTTTATTTTATTTATTTGATAATTATTATTTATTATTTATTTTATTCTATTTTATTTTATTTTTCATGTTAAAACGTTTTTCTTTCTTCGTTTTTTTATTTATTTATCTACTTATTTGTTTAATTTTGTACCACTGCCTCGCATGTTGTTGCAGTTTCTGCGTCTGTCAGATCCTGATTTTTAAAAAATAATAAAAAAAAACTACAGAAAAAAGGATATCAAAAGAAAGATAGCTATGGCGAAAGATGTATATTCTAAAATGAAAAACATCCTCACCAATAGTAAAATCAGTATATCAGCAAAATTGAAACTGACATGGTGTTACATTTTTCCTGTGCTAACTTACGGCTCTGAGTCCAGGACAATTTTTAAAGAAATGGCCTTTGTGACGTGTGCCAGGTACTTCAACATCTGCAAGAGAAGTTATGGCACTGTTTCCACTTCGTTTGACGTGACCAAAATCATCACAGACGGTGTTGCCGGCATTCGTCCTTTATATCATCTAAACCAGCACGACGCAGGATTTCGGTAGATTTGATGTGGTCCTTCAGACTAATTCGTTGCATCCATCGGAGCATTTTCATATCGGTTCGTTGAAGTTGTTGTTTCAGTGAGGTTGTCATTGGCCATGTTTCTGCACTATATAACAAGACCGGACGTATCACAGATATATAAAGTCTTGATCGTAGTGGTAGTGGGAAGTCACGCCGCATCAATATAGGGGCAAGGAGATGCCATTTATTCAAGGCTGCACGTATGCGTGCTCGAACGGCAGCTCCGGCTGTTCCAGTACAATCCAGAACATCCCCTAGATATTGAAACGACGTGACTTTCTCTACTTTAATGGCTTCAAAAACAGTGCTATTTCGAATTTGTTGTTGTGGATTGATGCAAGCAGGATAAACAAAATTGGACACTTTAGATAAAGTACCAATTATTTTTGAACAACGTTTGTACGTTTGTGACACCACTGGTTACACTGCTGACACTTGATTGAATTGTTACCTACACCAGCTTTACAAACTGAACAGGGCCATCGTCCAGTAGCTGTGGATTGGATGGGTTCACCAGTGTTCATTGCTTTGGTTTTGCTGATGTTGACTTTGAATCCATGATCGGCGAGTCTGGTGTTCCAATCTTCAAATATCTGTGCTGCATTCTGCTCAGACGTGGCTGTTAAAACGATATTATCAGCTTATATTAGATACCAAATGTCACCAGTGCGTATCGATTTTGTGATTTCTTCCATCACAGTTATAAATAACAGTGGACTGAGAATCGAGCCTTGGTGAACTCCAACGCCGATGTCAAATGCATCTGTGTTTCCAACCGTTGTGCTGACGAGAGTCTTAGTATTCGTATACATTTCCATCACAAGTCGAACAAAATATTCTGAAATGAGTTGTTGACGTAAACTCCACCTGATTGCTTCACGGGGAACTCGATCAAATGCTTTTTCAAGGTCAACAAAAATGTGTGATAGTTGTTGATGCTTTGCGAGGTACTTCTCTTGAAGTTGCCGAAGGATGTGAATTGCATCAATTGTTGATTTCCCCGCTAGGAAACCAAATTGATAATTTCCGATTGTGAGGCACGACGTTAATCTTCTCTCAATGATTTTCTCGACAATTTTCAGGGAGTGTTCTAACAGACGTATACCCCGATATGATGAACAGTTCAATGGATCACCTTTGCTTTTGTATAGAGGAACTGTCATGCTATAGTTCCATTCAGTCGGCATTGAGCAATTTTTCCAGATTTCACGACAAAGTTGTAGTAACGTTTGGATACCTGCAGTACCAGATGCTATGATAATGTCATTTGTGAGTCCAGAGGGCCCTGCTGCCTTTCCATCCTTCATAGCTTTCATAGCTTCTGTAAGCTCCTTTACAGTGATGTCTGGAATCAGACCTTCGAAGGGTGGAGCGTCAAAGTTAACATTGATTGGATTTGTTTCGTTTAACAGACGGTTGAAGTATTCTCTCCACTGTAGCTTGATCTCATCTCGTTCAAGAACCATCTCATTTTTGTCATTTTTTATACATGAAGCACCAACTATGTCTTTTTTCGTACGCTTTGCTTGTTTTGCTATACGATACAGAGATTTCATTTGTTCACCTTTGCTTTTAGTGAGCCACTCTCTGCACTGATCTGTCCGAGCCAGTGCGACTTGACGTCTTGCATAGTTGTTCTTCTCGCGGAAAATTTTATGGTCATCAACAGACTTTGATTTTTGCCATTGCTTGTAAGCAGCTTTCTTTTCAGCTATTTAATTTTGTACTTTTGTCATTCCACCACCAAGTGTCCCGTTCGTGTTGGCGTTTTGTACCAGTTTTCCAACAAACTGTAGTTGCAGTGTTTATCAAAACGGTTTTGTATGTACTCCAATCTGTAGTGGCTTGAGATTGGTGGTCGATGAATAGTGCTCTTCAACTTCCACGTATTGATTCTCCGAGGCATTTGTTTAGACTTATGTTGTGACAGTTCAACAACCAGGTCTGCCACAAGGAGTCTATGTTTGGCGACATATGATTCGCTAGGTATAACTTTGACATTTTTGAATAGCCTTCGGTGTTGTTGCTTGACAGCGAAGAAATCAATTTGCGTGGCTGATGGTCCACTTTTGTATGTTATGAGATGTTCCAGCCTCTTTCTACATACATATATCTACATATATTAATAAATTATATTATATTAATAAATTATATTCATAATTAACGAATAAACTTTACCAACAAAATCATAAACAAGTTACTTCCGCATTGAAAAAAATGACCAGTCAATAACTCAATCGTAATGCAATTAATCAGCCTTTATTTATTTTCTAATCCTCCAATCACTTATATCAATATATAAATGGTAACTCTTATTCAATAGACCATTTCTTTTCCATCGATTACTATTCAAAACATCTTAGTTAATAAATCTTAATAAAATTCATTAACATAATTTTAATAAAATTTATTATCTCATTTGTTCAAACCAGAATTTTTGAAAATGAATAATAATTATGATAACAATAAGTAAACCTCATCCAGATTTTCACCGAACCGAACTTCATGAACTTTGTGGGTCATATCAGGAGTAGGTGGCTGTTCACGCGATGAATGTGTTGATATGTGAAAGTTGCCCGGGACCTCAAAGATGAAATATTTCAGTCAAAAGGGATATAAAGTGATTAAAAACAATAGTTTTTAATACAATATTTTGGTCGGTGAGTTAGCTCAGTCAGTAGTTTCGCGGTGGCCTGGTTCGAATATTGTCCGCCCGAAACTCAAAGGCCAGGCGTGTATGATGCGTCTTGTCTGTGCATACTTAATGAGTACGTACGTTGTGTGGTGTGGTAAGAAGTTTTAAATATTAGAATGATATACAAGCGTATGTCAGAACTGCACCATAAAAAAATATTTTGTTATCACAGGTTTTTTGATGGTATAAATATGTGATGTTTGGATTGGCTTGTATACTAAATCAACATTTCTAACCAATCACATTTCGTTGATATTTTTTTAATTTTATACCCATTTAAATCGTATTGGCTATCAACATTGATAAAACGTACAGTTTGCTCGATAATACATAGTTATAAATAATTAGGACTGTACCGAAATTCGACTTCAACTTCTTCCTAATTCGGCTCAAATCCGACTTTGGCCAAAAAGTTGTGGCGGATTTCTGTTTTAGAATTGTCACCTAACTTTGGATATATATTTTTTATGTATGCATTTTTATTTCTGATTTTCATGCATTGTTAATTTAATTATTATACATTAACTTCAAATACTTTATATTGATTAATCCATTTTTATTTATTTGTGTGACTCATTAATTTATCTTATATAATTTTATTTGTAGAAGTAGAAAAATTGACAGCAAGTAATGACAACCTACTGTCAACAACTTTTGCCAAGAAAATCATCGACAAACACAAAACAAATCAAAAAACATGATAGTGACAAGTTGAAAACACCTTTTACTGTGGCAACGTGGAAGGCTAGAACGTTGTACCAGACTGGAAAATTTGAAAACGTAAAACAAGAAATAAAAAGAATGAATCTCAGCATTCTAGGTTTGAGCGAAACTCAGTGGAAGAAATCAGGTGTCATTACCTTTGAAAAAGGCAAATTTATCTACTCTGGAGGTTAATCACAGAATCGAGGAAAAAAAAGAACATTAGGTTCGAAGGTATATGTTAAACCCACGAAGACCGGATATGAATGAATATGATATGAATGATATGATATGTCTGACTGACTGACTGCTACAAAAACAACGTAGTATACAATTTTATCCATCGCGTTTATAAAATCTCATCCGACAATAGAATATTTCGTTCAGAACTAGTTCGCATTAAACAAATTTTAATCAACAACAACTATTCTAACAAATTAATAGAAACCACTATTAACCAATATTTAAAAAAAAATAGATAATCCAACCAGTCTACATTTAACCAAAACAGTTATGACAATTACAAAGTTGACGAACATTTTACAATTATTCTCACAATAACACGATCCAACACCGTCCAGTATAGTGGAGCTATACTTGATCTGATTATCTGTTCTCAAGATTTTCAAATTTCAGATATTAAGATTTTTCCCAGTGGGACTTTTTCAGACCATAGTTTAATTCAGGTTAATATATCATTAACCCATAAGCGTCCTAAAATAGTCAAAAAACAAGTTAGATCCTGGAAATACCTAAATGAAAGCAATCTCATTAAATATGTACGTACAGACTTCTCCATTATCAAGGTCTTGCCAAAGCAATAATATTAATATTGAGTATGATATGATGAGTTTTGAACTCATAGACATTTATCATTAATCTGTATTTTCATCCAACTGTATTTTATTTTACTTCATTTATTTATTTTATTATTTTTAAAATACAATGGAAGCTTTTCATTTGCTGGAGGCATAAGAACGTCAGTTCGCGTCTCTCTATTTTCTGTTTATGTTATGTTATATATATATATATATATATATATATATATATATATATATTTGTACGGTTGAAGATTACACTCCATTTTGCAGTTAGAAGTTTTTTAAATAAAATTTCAACAACACGAAGCTGTTTTGTTTCAACTTTATTAAACTGTGAAGTTTGGCTGACGGCCGTTTCGGCTAATGCCATCGTCGGAGCCTAGATTGTAAAACCAAATGAGGAGTTAATAATATAAATTATAAGAAATAGAAAATAGAATATTAGATATTAAAATGAATAAATAAATGAATAACAACCTATATTTTAAAATGAACTCATTATATTGTTGAAAATAAAATAAACGAATAAATTTAAAAGAAAAATTATGAATAAAATTGTTTGTGTATTATCTTAGTTGAAGTGTAGAAAGTTAGCAAGAATTAATGCAGAAATTATGGGAAGTCAATAATAATATTTAATGATATGACAATTTATTGAAGAATTATTAGATATTTAACAATTGGATATAATATTATTTAGCAATAAATATGTATAAAGAAATATTAAGGCGTGGCAAATAATGAAGTTAGTGAACAAATTGTTTGAGTTTTATGGCGTGAAGAGACAAACGGATTGTTGTTAATGGTGCGTTCTTGTGTGTTATATTCGTATTTATATTTGGAGTGTAGTTGCTGTCTATTGATGACGTTTGGCAATTGAGGCAGTACAACGTCGCGATATTAAGTAAAAAGTTGTAAGACGTGGGCGAAATTGTCTGACTGCGTGTTGATTGTTGGTTTATTATTGAGGATGAGAATAGCTTCTTTTATTTTGAGTCTTGAGGGACGACGTTCATTACAAAGTATGCTAGTGTTATTATCAAGAATTTTTCGAGTAACTAGTATGTTGTGCTGCTTATTGAAGTGATCCTTGATAGCGCCTTGCTGTACGTGCATGGTAAGGCGTCTGCGAAGTGTTGTACGTGTGTGTCCAATATATGTTTCCACATCACGGTGTGGCAAAGGGCATCGAAATTGGTACACGACGTTCATACTATCTAGATTATCTTTTGTAGTGGCTGGACTGTTTTTGATGACTAATTGTTGTGTTTTTGTTGTATCATAATATATTATTAACTTAATCTTTTTATTTTCATCTTCTGGTGTGAGATTTGATCTAATGATTTGTTTAATTTGTTTTTCGTCAATTAGATAGTTATGCATTTGATTTTTGTAGTAGATAGGTATTGTTTGTTGTTCGTGCTGTGGTTGTAGAAGTGGTTGTTTGAATTTCTTGAGAGATTTAGATATGACGTCGTCGATGAGTGTATTTCGATAATTATTATTAATAAGTAACTGTTTGATTCTTTGAATTTCTATGTGAAGAGATTCATCGTCGTTAGATAATTTAAAAGCGCGTGTGATGAAGTTTTTAATGACGTTGTTTTTGTATTTGACGGGACAATCGGAATTTTAGTTTAAGCATTGTCCAGAGTTTGTTGGTTTGACGTATACTTGGGTAGAGGGCTGATTTGCGTGCATGGTGACTAAAGTGTCCAGGAAAGAGATTTTATTATTGTTACTAACTTCAATTGTAAATGATAAGCAAGAGTTGTTCTGGAACAGGTTTTGGAGTTGATATATGTCAGCTATAGACTTTGTGATGATAAATATATCGTCGACGTAATGGGCGTAGATAACCTGTTTGTTTTCTGGATCGGAGAATATCTTAGATTCTAGATTACCCATGTAGAACTCAGCGAAAAGAGGACCTAATGGGGAGCCCATGGCTATGCCGTCTATTTGTAGGTACAGTGAGTTATTTGGGGCGACAAATGGATTGCGTATGGTACATAGTTGGAGGAGCTCTTTAAGTAAATGAGGAGGAATGTCGAGTTGAGGAAGAGAAGGCTCCGACGATGGCATTAGCCGAAACGGCCGTCAGCCAAACTTCACAGTTTAATAAAGTTGAAACAAAACAGCTTCGTGTTGTTGAAATTTTATTTAAAAAACTTCTAACTGCAAAATAGGGTGTAATCTTCAACTGTACATGTTTATCTGAGAACCTCATACCAAATTATATATATATATATATGTAAAGTTGTGACGATTGTGATGATAATGATTGCGCGATTGAAATATGCCGCCTGTATATTTTGTGAAATTGTGACGATTGTGATGATAATGATTGCGTCTTTGAGGCGTGCCGCCTGTATATATCTATATATTTTAATAGACATTCAATGCATGTATATTTTGTTATTTGATATGCTATATATGCGACGCTGCTGTGTTGTTTTGTATATAGGGAGTATAGCAATATATGGGACGCGTGAGACGCGCTGTTCTGAATATAGGAAAAGAGTATAGATGCGAGTATAGAATTTTCTATGATATAGAAAGCGTTATGTAGATAGGGCGGTAAAAACATATAAAAGGCCGCGAGTTGAGATATAGAGAGGCGGGTCGTTTGTTATTTTATTTTAGGTTTTGTTTCTTGCTTGGTAGTTGTATTATTAATAGATTAATTTTGGATTTATCGTTTTTTTTAATAAAGACAGAGGTTTGATTTGTATTATTTTGTTTGTTATTTTATTTCTTTTATTGAATAAAAGAAGTGTACACTTGAAGTTTGGCTCGGCTTAATTATTCTACCTAAAATAATGGATGTTGAAGAAGACTTGCTGATAGTTGACGAGGTCGGCGTCTCTAGTCAACAAGCAGGGCGCGAACAAACTTCCGCCCGGCCCGTGTTTTCAGACCCTGAGAGGGTCTATTGTAGAGTGGCGGATCCCGGCCAGGAAAGACTCCGCCGAAGCGAAGGCTCGGGTGGATATTCGTATGCGGACGCGGTTCGGGACCGCGTGGTGCGGAATTCGAATGTCGCCCGGCAAAAATCTACATATATATATATATATATATATATATATATATATATATATATATAATTTATGAATTTATGGCATGCTGACGCATGTAGGTAGCGTAATAGCTCTAAATTTTTTCAATTTATTTAGAATTGTTGTTGAATAAAAGATCATTTCATTTCATGAAATAATTGTCAAGTAATATTTAATTCATGTAATATACTGGACAAATCATATCAAAGTACTGTTCGTGTTAAAACAGATCGAATTCTGGGGTCCACGTATATCAGGAAACCATTACATTTTAGCAAAATTAAGCTGTGGTAGCACATAATTTTATACAAAGTATAGCTAACTTTATTAATTTTAAATCGAGCCTTGAATCTGCATCCTTCATTTTCAGTTGGCAGCTTATCTGTGTTCTCTATAAAACCAACTTCATGTCTTCCTAAATCATCTTGAATGTCAAGACCAATATCTAAAAATTAAAAATGTATAACACTGTGAGTTAAATTAAGATTTAATTTAAAAGTTTCGTTTAAGATTGATTTCCTTCAGTTATCCTTTAGAAATTCTAAATTCAAATCATTTGTCTTTTCATTGATCCATTTATTTGTCTACCTGGCTCAATTTCTTTGTGGTCCTATGAACAATCTAGATAAATCTAATGGTAAAAACTCAGCTTCCGTCAATTACTAGTTAGAGTAAATAAAATTCAAATTTGATAAATCAACAGAATATTACATTGTAGGGCCATTTACGTCTCGCGAGAATTTTTTCATTGCAAGGTTTCCTGTGACCGTGTAGTCCGATCCTTTAAATACATATATTACCACAACCACTACAATGAAACATATAAGATAATGCTGTGTTTGCACTTCTTCCATTTCGCTTGCATTGCTCCTCTGCCTTTAATGATCCCTTCTGATATCCGCTCTCCAAGCCATCCTGTTCGGTGCCAACTCTTCTCGGTTGTTTGTGTCAATGTCTAATTGTTTTATATCGCACATACATACGTCGGTGTATCGCAGCAAAGAACGTCCTGTACCAAGCCTGCCTTTTATCAGTTTTCCATATAAAGAAACGACTCTGTCTGTGACATTGGTAAACAAGACCAAGCTAACCCAGATGTCTACAGCTAAGAACCGTACAAATATCCTGCCATCCCGCTCTTCGTTGGATCTTTTCATTTTTATTTTAATCTGAAATTTTATCTTCAAAGTGCGCCTTGGGCATTGCAGGTAGGTGGTTCCTGTCATGTAGTTCGTGTTGAGTGGGCACGTAGGTTTTAACTAACGTAGTTTTTTAGTTAATTAGTTGGCTAGTTAGTGTTTTTTGAATTGAATTAATGTTATTGACTTTTCCGCGGGTTTGTATAGTGATTGTGGTTGCCATCCCTGTTCCCGGTTGATAAGAAGATGTGAGTCGTTATCGAGATGTGCATTTGCTGCTTGGGCCTAGGTTGGTTGCTCGTGGTTCGTAGGTGGATATTGAAGAATTGAACTATTAAATTTGTTTTCTGTTTCTGAGTAGCAAAGAAAACTCAAATGGATTGACATTGTCTGTCATTTAGGGCAGGAAGTGAAAGTCTGCTGCCATGCTGTAGTTAGAAACAGTAGAAACAATGTTTAATTGAATAACAGATTAATTGATTATGTTTCTTTAATAATTTACAATATCTAATTATATCTATAATATACAATATCTAATCTTATTATCTAATTATTTTTTGGTCATATTTTTGATGTTTGCTGGGTATTATTATAATCGTTAAGTGGCGTGCCAGCTAGCTGGTTTCACGCTTGTGTAGATTGTTTGACATTCACGTTTAAAGTTTTATAGTTTTAGTGATTGTTTACTGTTTGCTGTGGTTAGAACTGTCTGATCTGATAACGTTGTCAACTTTATTTCCGTAAATCTTATGTCTGCCTCTGAGAAATGCTTTAAGGGTAAATAATAATACGAATAACTATTATTATTATTTATAATAATAATAGTTTTGCTTTTATTGCTTTTATTGCTTTCATTGCTTTGGCTATTCTACTGCTTATGTAATTATCAAATAGTGTATTATTTGCAATCTTTGAGTCAAACTAGCAGAAATCATCTACCATTTCCAGAATTTGTGAGTTAACAATATGTTTGGAACAGTATCCACATTTTGAGCCAATACCATGGTTTTACTCTGAATGATACTCGGGCCCAACTTAAGACAACTAGAAACTGAAGCTAGTTGCCTGATTTGCCAATAAGGGCCGCGTTATCAGCATACAATAGATCTATAACTAATAATAATATAACTTTCCTTGTTTTTATTTAGAGCTCTTATGCGCAAATAAACATCTTCATTAAAATCTTTGTATGTGTAGCGGAGCACGATGAAAGTATTTACACCAGAGCATAATTTTTCAACAGCGCTTCTGGAGATAACTCGATAGAGACACTTTATAAATCGACAATTCAATATAAAGAGTAGAGGCAAATACACAACCATGTTTCACCTCAAAGTATTCCAAACAAGAGCCATTGAATTTCAAAAAGCACTTAATCTGTTTGTGAAAGCACATAATGAACAACCTATTTTGTATAGTTTCTAAAAAGACTACTATTGTAGACCACATCGAATCCCTTAGTTGAGTCAACAAAAACAATGTAAAGTTGTTTCTTTTTCGTAACTTCTCCTGTATAAACTGCAAAATAGATATCATGTCAAACAACAGACTTTTCACTTTTGAAACCACAAAGCATTTTCAAAATCTTAACAAATAAATGAGGTTGTTAGAGTCGATGCAATCTTCTTTGCTTTTTTAGACAGCAAAAATACTTAAGTCTCACATGTCCTGTGGGACGTAGTCTGAATTCCAGCAAAAACAGAGAAAATTTTAGCTTCGTTAGCAGCATGGATTGGCCGGCTTTTATAACTTCGACTGGATTGTCATCTCTTCCAGGAGCTTTTCCATTTTACACTTTGCTAATTGCATTTTGAGGGTAATTGAAGTTGGGCAGATCATCTAGGTACTCCAAAACCGGAATGAGTGTGAAGAAAGTAACATCGTTTGTTCTCCATCGGGAGCATAAACAATTGGAGAGTAAGCACAAACAATATTTCACTCTTTCATTGCCATGCAGAATCATATTAATGTTTTGATTTCCCTTACCAAAAGGTGTAGTTTTTATCTCTAGAGAAGCTCTTCGTCGATGATGGCAATCTGACGCATTTCTGTGGCAAGGTTTGATAGGTGTAGAACTGCAACTTGGTTGTCAAGTCATTTCTAAGCACCAAGCATCTAGTAGTGCAGGCAAACTGTAGCGGGATGGCACTATATTGACCAAGGGTTGTTGGGTTTGATGCAGACTATAGCTACAAAAGATACTAAAATGTTGTTTCTGATGTTTCAATTCCTATGCCCATCGAAAAGGAACTTATCAGGGTTAACAGTAACTACCAACCACTACATGTTTTTTGACAGTTCTGACATAGGTAGAGTAACCTCTCCACTTGTTTTAGGAAAGCCTGGGCAATAATTGTATACCTTTCGCTACCCGGACAGCAAAATCAGCTTTTTACCAAGCTAACTAAGTCTAATGAAATTGTTACTGTCACGGTTTTTGACCAGGTAGTTGCAGGAATTTGCCGAAAATTAGTGGTTGTATCATTATCTTTCCGCCTACGAGACTCCAATCCGGATTTTTTATTACGGTTGACCCCCTTAGCATCTAACGCGAGTAAACTAACGCAAGTATGCGCCTATCTCCCAATCACAGAGACTTTTCTCTAACCACTTTGACCTTACCAGTAAAAGTTAGGATCAAGACTCTCCGTGTCCGCATGCGCTACCAGGTTTATCGTAGTCAGCTTTGGCATCCAATTAATCCAGACTTATGATTTAACAGAGCCCCGGCTATTCCTTTGACCGGCATACCCATCCGCATGTCCTCAGTGGTGGTGCGCATCTCCCAAGTAGACGCACTGGTACCTAGCTTCACTATTTACTAATATAAACCAGGACCAGAGTAGATTTTGAGGGAAATAGTTAAAGTAACTCTAAAAAATTTCCTTTCGGCTGATAAATAAAAAATTTAGCAAAATTAAACAAACAAAAAAAATGTTGGCTTAGCCAATCATCGTTAAACTAGTGTCCTAACGGTACATTTCAGTATTTAATTACATTGCAACACCTTATACCTCTTAATAAACATCATTTTGTGGATCCTCAGCAGGTTTCCTAAATATTGTTATTGCAAAATCCTACCTTGCAAGCCAAAAAACACATCTTTTCAAACTGTGCATATTAAGTTCCTACAGCCTCTAAAGAAGCGATGCATATGACTATATAAATGTTCCAATAAATATTGTTATAACTTTCCCGATCGACGACGAGTCTGTTCACTGTGAAAAATAAAGACAATATCCAAATCATCGATTTATTTATTTACAAAACAATAACTAGTAACTAATTATTCAATCAATAATCAACGTTAATTAATTACTAATAAAAGTTAATATTCACAAACTATCAAATTAACGTTCAGAAACTATCGCTTTCCGAATAACATATATCGCAAATACAATAAGAATACAACGCAGAGTCAAATACCAAATATAGCTTTCGACACTAATAACAATCGCTTTCTAATATCAAATATTCAGCAACAACCATTCAATATCTCGCATGTCTTTATATACCCTTTTTACCGACGCTTCTCGAACGTTCTAGATATCTCGCTGTCAGACGGCTCTAGTTACACCTGGAATTGTATGCGTTCGTAGCGACACTAGCGTCTCTAGCGAATATATTTGTGACAATTATAACACTGCCTCCTTTCCGTTTTGTCCGTCCCGAACAAAGTTCGTTGCAATGTCTGCATAGAACGGAGCCAGTCTGTCCAAACGAACAATTTTCATTCTCGCCCGTGGCTTCCGATGTTCTTGAATTCGGTAGACGATGTTGTTTAATCGGGTTATGATCTGATAAGAAACTTCCCAATCTCGTTGAAGCTTTGGAGACCGCCCTTTTTTCCGATGAGGGTTATACAGCCATACTATATCGTTGGCGTTAAATTTAGCAGTGTTTCCCTTCAGCCGCGTGTATTGGTGGATGCTGTTTAACCGCTGACGGAGATCATCCACATAATCTGTTATTGATTGTGGAGCCTCAGGTGGTACGCCATATTTTATATCAGCTGGGGTTCTTTTTGTACTTCCAAAAAAGATCTTTGAGAAAGTCATCACAATAGTTGTGTAGATGGCACTCCAATATCAAATGAGGAACAGTGGTATTCGTCGATTCCAGTCTTTATGGTTTTCGTCAACTGCCTTGGCCAAATGTTCAACACGTGTTTGGTTGAAACGTTCCACCATCCCATTTGACTGAGGGCGGAGAGGAGTTGTTCTTACTTCTTTATACCCAGTAATTGACACATCTCACCAAACAGTTGCGACTCGAAGTGTCGACCTTGGTCTGAATGCAGCTCCATGGGAACACCACACCGTCTGATCCAGTTCATTACGATCTCTTCAGCGACCTACAAGCCTCCTGATTTGGTATCGGATACACTTTCAGCCTCTTGCGAAAATAGTCTGCTATAACCAAAATGTAACGGTTTCCATTGTATTGAACAGTATACAATTTCCCTTTTCTCTACAATTCTAGCATTTTGGCGCACCATAATCCTGACCCTTCTGTTCTAGAACCATCCTTTGACACAAATATTTTTCACAAATTTGGCTCAGCTTTACTTCATTATTTGATGCTTGCTGTTCAATATACTGCTGTTTCGACTCTACAGGTCGCTGCGTCCGGTTTCGTAACTGGGACCGATATATTTGCTTCATGTGCTCCTCACCGTAACCTAAATTCAACGCATTAACCAGGACTTCATAGTTGGAATGGTTCTCGACTGAAATCGTTTGGAGAACTTCTGCTGCTGACCCTCGTAACGCCACCACAAAAACCGTTGCCCGCTCTCTTTTATTCTAACCATAATTCATTGCTACTGCTTCAAACCTTCAAACTGTGGTTTATAAATGTTCCAAAAAGTTTCTCCATCAAATGTCTTCAAATTTCAATGTCTTCGCGGTCACGTGGCTTGCAGGTGTGGAGTTTATTTTCTTAGCTATTTCCAGATCTTGTTTAATTTTATTCATTTCGCAAGATAACTTCTGGTCGAGCTCGATAACCATTTGATCAAATTTCTGTTCAATTTTTGACGTTTTCTATTTTTGCATTGATTAATGCCGATTGCTGATCAGCCTTGATATAGAATTGTTCTTTGAGTTCTCTCAACTGTTGTATCTTTTAGCATCAATAGCGGCCGACTGTTGTTCGATTTTGGCATCAATTTGATCTATCGTCTGTTCAATTTTTGCATCAATTTGGTCTCTCGTCTGTTTCATTTCTGCTGATTGTTGTTCAATTTTTACATCAATTTGATCTATCGTCTGACGTAGAATTGTTCTCTGAGTTCTCTCAACTGTTGTATCTTTTAGCATCAATCGCGGCCGACTGTTGTTCGATTTTGGCATCAATTTGATCTATTGTCTGTTCAATTTTTGCATCAATTTGGTCTCTCGTATGTTTTATTTCTCCTGATTGTTGTTTTATTTCTCCTGATTGTTGTTCAATTTTTAAATCAATTTGATCTATCGTCTGTTTTATTTCTGTTATGTTGTTTAATTTTTGTAGATTGTTATTTTATTTCTGATGATATCGTTCGGAGTAGAGCCATCAATTCAGTTTTTGCCCCAGCGTCTACAACTGCATTCATTTCGACATCCTGATAATCAAACTCGAATTCATCTGAATTCTTTACATTAACACGGGCTTCCGTTAAGCGTGCTATCAATGCTCATCTATTTCCACTTGTAGCAAGATTTCGTTTTTATAACTCTTCTTTGAGTTGCGCCAAATTAACTTGATGTAGTTTCGTCACGTTGCTTTTACAAATTACTTGTCGACGTAAAAAAAAATAAAATTTTCAGCTCGATGCTCACTTAAATTCCACTGAAGATCCCACTTCTGACACCAATGTTATAACTGTCCCGGTTGACGACGAGTTCATTTAATCCCAGTGAAAAATAAAGACAATATAACTTCTTATCGATTTATTTATTTACTAAACAATAATTACTTAATTTATCAATCAATTAATAATCAATGTTAATTAATTTTACTCAGAAACTATCGCTTTCCAAATAACAATTCACAAACGTTTATCGCAAATACAATAAAAATACAACGCAGAGTCAAATATAGCTTTCGACACTAATAATCAATCGCTTTCCAATATCAAATGTTCAACAACAACCATTCAATATCTCTTATCTATCTTATATCAATATCTATCTCTTATCAATATCTCTTCAGTATCTTTTATATACTCGTTTTACCGACGCCTCTCGAACGTTCTAGATATCTCGCTGTTAGAAGGTTCGAGTTCCTCCTCGAACTGTGCGCGTTCGTAATGACACAAGCGTCTCTAGAGAATATATTTGTGACGGCAATAACACTATCATGAATATATTTTAAAATTGATTAAAAAATTACATTTGCAATCCATTTTGTACAATGAGACATCAATTTTAACTTCAATTTTTTCCAATGCCATTGATGGATCAGCCACATACATGTCTGAAATTCTATTTTTTAAAAGAATTACTTTAAATTTTGTGTCTTAATAAAAATCTAATATTAATACAAACATTTCAGGAGTTATGAATAAAATAAGTTCCGAAAAGAACAGATATGCTATGAATAAGCAACTAGTGACTGATATGCATGCCCCTGTGTATGTTGGTTGCGTCAAATCTTTAGGAATTTTTCTGTAAATATCAAACCTGTAAAAATTGGGTTCATCTTCAAAAATTTATTATGTTTATAAATGATTACAAACCATTATCTAACACATGATGTCAATTGTTTCTCTTAATAAGAACTCATGTTAGTGTGATGCGCACCGCGATTGACAATTAATTTAACAATATCAACACTTTTTGCGCATATTTTAAAAAAAACCTAAAATTTTACATTCTCTAAGAATTTCCATTAACTTTTTTGCATAAAAAAACTGTTTTAGCTGAGACTTTCCCAAAAATTAAAGTTTAACTTGAAAAATTATTAACAAAACAGAAATACACATCGTTGCGCATCGCATTATTTATAATGAATAATTTTATTGGTGAATCGTACACTAGTGCCGGAATGTCAGTTGGATCGTAGAATTTTAGATAAGAATCGCCTTATCATTTTATTAGAAGAATCGCCTAATCGTTTTATTAAAGTTGAAAGCAAGAGCAGCATCAATGTAACACAAACACAAATACATACATATATCATCGCATATAATATCATATAATCCATAAAATATTCAAATAGTTATATAAAATTTCATATAACGCATATAATATCATAACGAATGCATTACACATGTACTGTTTACATTTCCATTGTCAAATAACAATATTTTATTTTATTTTATTTGTTTCATCTTATTTTATTTGTTCCATTTTAATTAGTAACAAGAAATTTAACGTATAATTATACTTGATTTCATTAGTATTAAATCATTTTTTTGTCGTCATCATCTCACGGCGCTAAACGATTTAGTGTTGCTTATCGCAATTTGAATCAGATTACTAAACAATTATTATCTCCCTTTTGACGATGTTGTCGAAAGTCTTTCCAATGTGAAATAAAACATTTTCTCAGTTTTAGATTTACGCTCAGGTTACCTCTTGATCCTGAAACAGCCCACAAAAGCGCATTCAGCACTCACGACGAACACTAAGAGTTCACAAGACTTCCTCAAGGACATGCCAACTTACCTTTTTCATTTCAGTTACTAACACAATCAGTTTTAAAACGTTCGATTAACTAACATTACCTGTTTAGTATACGTTGATGATACCATTTGTTTTTCTAATGGTATGAAAGATCATGTTAAACACTTGAATGAAATATTTGAACGTCTTCATGATGCAAATTTAAAATTGCATCCAAAGAAAGGTCAATTTGTAAAAGACAAGGTACTTTACCAGGTTACTACATCACTGAGAAAGGTTTAGAAACCGACCAAAAAAATTAAATTCATTCAAAATTTTCCAGTACCTACAAATTTAAAATTGTTGAAATCATTTATTGGCTTACAATTTTACAGACGTTTCATTCAAAATTTTTCAAGCATAGCAGAAAAATGATCAAACCTTCGAAAGGACAGCAGATTGCTAGTTAGCATTTGATGATTTAAAAAATGCATTAGCTAAAACTCCAATACTGAAATATCCTGACACAA